GGGAAACAGTTTTATTTGATAAATGTGATTTTTGCACATCAAAAGCTTCTTTTTTAGTTGAATTTCGCGCTAATTAAATCATGCTACAGAATTGCTTTTCTGAACCGTTTATGGAATAAATAAAACTTTTCCGAAGAAAATGGGTCAGCATTCATCCTCGAAAGTTTCTCGGAAGGATCAAGTGGGATGACTTTCCTCACAGGTTATTTTTCTTCAGAAACTTTACTGAAGTAGCCTTTGAAGTTGAATAGAGTCAGAAATCGGATAACCAGTAGGAAATGGTTCAGAAGTTTCGGAACAAGCTTGCAATTCCTCAGATGTTACATTTTTCTCACGGTCTTAGCCTAAAAGGCTAATGACAAGAAGCCACGCTCAATATTTCGCGGCACGTACGAGTGTCATTCGTTGACGAGAATGTGTCGTCGTATACGCAAAATAACCCCTTTCTTCCTTCCTCAGACTTTTTTCTTGTTGCGAATTTCAGCAGTCGACGTCACTGTCGATGTCGTCGAGCATTCCTTGTCGTCTATCCCGTTCCTGTCGCATATATGGAAATGCAAGTCAGGCGTGGATGCGTCATAAAAAAGGAGAGACGCATTGAAGTCGAATGGGTTGCGAAAATGAAAGGGGAGTCGGTTTTCCACCCCTCGGATGTTCCCTTCTTTTCATTTGACACTATATCTGGAATATTTTCTGCATTCACTAGGACATGTAGAAAAATTGTGGAGTTTTTTTTTCTCAATATGTTAACCCTTGAACAGTGGCAGGTCAATTTTCATCATGCAGCGGTACTTGGAAATTTCTGAATACTTGCGCATTTCGGTTTGACCAAAGGTTATCAAAATGCAGCTTTCCTCTTGGAATAAAAAAAAATCACTCGGGATCAAGCTAGAAATTTCCTTTTTTTCTTTTACCAATGGCACACAATTGTGCAAATAAATCATGGCAGTGCTGCACAAGGGTTAAAACACTGCCAAGCCTCTCTTGTCATCTCTTCTGAACTCTCTTGTCATGGATTCCTGTGCATTTGGATCATCAGATATTTTTTCTATAGTAAATATAAAAAACAGCAACTATTTTGTTGAATTGTATCTCCGGAAATGAATGATTATTCAGATGAATGAATGAACAGAAAGCTTCATTTTCAGATAATTAATAAAATGTTCTTTAGCATAATAAATTTATCAGAAGTAGAAATATGGAGTATGTGCTCTTTTTCTAAAATTTTGGAAAGACAATGGCAGTTGAAAGCATTCTGATGAAAAATTAAAAGTTGGCTTTTGTCCTGATGACACTTCACACAAATTTTCACCCGCTGAAATCATCATTTAAATTGTTTCCTCCTGAGAAACCCTTCTTCAAACCATCCTTTCTTATTTTTTGAAGACATTTCCCTACAGCTGCTTCATTGGTTCTTAATTTTTGCAAAACAAGCAGAAAATTTTAAAATTCCTTTCATAATTTCTTTTGAGTCTGCAAACATTTTATGAAACATTGCCAGACCACAGAAACTTTTGGGAAACTTGTTAGTATGCAAAACAACTTATGGAAATTTGCTGGTCCATGCGCCCAAAAAGGTTTGGGTAACACTGATGTAAAAAAAAAAGTGCAGAAAATACTGAAGCTCGAAAATGAGTTCATGGTTTCCTGACCCGCCCTGTATATTTAGCAAGTCCCCGGAAGTTGACTTCACTATATGCTTGCGCTAGGCCACGTGCCAGCTGTGTGTAACCCGTCGCTCTCCTTCGTCTGAGGGCTCGACTGCTGCTGCTGCTGCTGCTTATTTTCCTATTTTCTTCAAACTGTATCCCGGAGCAGTTATTGAAAAGAATTTCTTGGCTCTTGGAGAGAATTGAAGGATTTCTGTCCCCGAGAATTGCAGCTGAGGAACCTGCTGCTGTTGCTTCTGCTACTTCCGCTGCTCCACATAAATGAATATCCACTCCCTCTGGCATCGACGATTCCGTATCTTCTGATTTCAGGCGCAGTAGGTTCTTGTTTTTTTCTCGAGAAAACATTTGGAATTCTGTGAACTCGAAAATTTTGCCCCACATACGAGTCTGTATATTAGCCAAGATTGAATGAATCTCGGTTTTGGTCGAGTGTTGCCAACATTTCCATATGTCATCATCATTTGATCAATACATTATAGCGTCCTGAATTTTATTTCGTTTTACGCAATTTTTTATATGCTCAGTAAAAATTCCAATGGCTTTTCCGGATTTTTTATTCACTCCGGAAATCGTTGAATTCTCAAATTTTCAAACTGGAAATGTTCTGTATCATGACATCTTCAACTCAAATTTAAAAAAAATTTAATTGTCGGAAACTGCCCGGTTTTTCCTCTGCCTACTGCGATAAAAATATAAATTGTTCATGGCACATCGAAAAAAAGGCCCAGCTCGAATAAATAATTCTTATCGCATGTTTTATGATATTTTAGAGATGGAAGGGATTTCGGATATTGTATTTCTCTTTCAGCCCAATTTTCATCAGTTTTCCATCGTCTAGACTCTTGAAGAATCAAAGCGGGCAGTGCCAAAAATAAATGTGGGTTTTCTTTAATCGGCAAAGGGCATTTCCTCGACTGAAAAATGCTGTCGCAAGATAAATTCCTCTAAAATTCGAAACAAGGATGACACATTGGGAAAATCCAGAATGTGACCGAGATGCAAATGTTTGATTTCCTCACCAGTGTTTCCAACGTAAATAAAATACAAAAAAAATCTGCGCTGTTTTCTCTCTCTTCGCCTATAGTAGGTGGGTATTCGGCAACTAACCGAGGTTCGGGTAGTAAAACAGAGTCCAGAGAAAGTTTCTCTTCCGCTCGTTTTTTTGTAATAGTTGTTATTTTTTTGCTGTCTAGAACTGGAAAGTGAAGACTCGGCTGGAAAGTGCTCGCGGAGCAAGTTTGCCTCCCAGAGCGGCTTGAAACTCCCGTGGGGATGAGGCGAGATTGCTTCTTTGTGCACTTTGGCACGCGGATCTCCGGGCTCTGAAACTCTTGTCCCAGTGCTGCTTCTTCATGTAAAACCTTCCCCATCCCCCTTTCCCCTGTGGCGATCAGGCATGAGCTGGGTATTTCTGATCCAAATACACCCGAATATTCACTTGCCTTCGAAGACAGGAACATCATGTGTCGGCAGTCCTCCGGAAGTAAATAAAATCGGGATTACGAGCAGATTTTTGAGTTGGATGATGTTGGTGACTGAAGTCACTACAACAAGAAAAAGCTAGGCTGTAAAGAAAGAGATTAGTTGATAAAAAGATTTCAAGAAAAACACAGAATCAGCCCAGGACAGGGGCCGGGAATTCACGGTGGAATCCCTATTTAAACGTTAAAGTATATTTCGAAACTCTTGTCCCAGTGCTGCTTCTTCATGTAAAACCTTCCCCATCCCCCTTTCCCCTGTGGCGATCAGGCATGAGCTGGGTATTTCTGATCCAAATACACCCGAATATTCACTTGCCTTCGAAGACAGAAACATCATGTGTCGGCAGTCCTCCGGAAGTGAATAAAATCGGGATTACGAGCAGATTTTTGCGTTGGATGATGCCTGATTCAGTTGAACGAGATTTTTCAGCTGTGTGCCAAAATTAAGCACAATCGAAATCGATCGTGATCACGAGGGCGACTGATTGAAGGTACAGATGGATTTTAATGATATATTGAACAAATTTTAGGAAAACAAAGACACATATAGGATAAAAGTTTTGTTGGCATTATGTCTAATTCATTTGAACGATAGATTTTTCTGCTGGGCCAAAGTTCAGCACAATCTTGAAAGTAATCACGAGGGCGACTTACAGATGATGAAATTGAATTTTGAAAATATTTGAAACAAATTTCTGGAAACATTTCTGGACAGATGGGATCAAATGTCGTTCTTTTCAGGCGTGGATGACCTCGAATTTTTGCTGTTTCTCAATTTTTTTAAAATTTGAAGCTGCGATTCAATCCACCAGTTATTCAAAATTCTGATCTGTTTGTAACACCGCAATAATTACAAATTTATTGATGAACAAGCATTTTCCCGCATTTTTATCATACCCGTATTTTATTTTTTCGGTAAATAAACCGCTTTAAAAAGAAAAAAAAAACTTTAAGAGGATTCATTCGATATCCGCGACAAGTTTTGCATTCTTTTCTGACCTAGTACACCATAAAGGCCCTCGGGGACTGTTCTCAGATTTGTCAGCAAGTACTGGGGCACCAAACTTTATTGTTCGCAGGTTCGTTTAACTTCTCATATAAAGTACATGCGTTGGGTAAAAAAGGCCAATTTTTTGAACCCAGGACGTTTTTCGATGTCACAGTTCACGCGTTCAATAACCAGTCTTACTTTCTCAGGATTCCTTTTTCACATGAATCACTATAACACGAACTTCGATGGCTGTTAAAATATTAAGCAACTGAAATCGAAATTAAGGCAAGTTATAAAATTTACAGGAATCCAATCACATTTATTCAAACACCGGCAAAGTCCTTTTGTGAATTATTCGCTGTCTCTTCGGGCCTTCTTGATCTACATTTAACTCATTGGAAGTTACCAAGGAGCAGAAAACATAAATTCGCTAAATAAAATTATAAAAAAAACAGATTTGCGTTAAATTTTCTTGAAAAGTCTGGCATTCAACGCATATCCAATGATTTGTCATGACGATCAACCGATGTGCTAAGAGTCGAGTGGAAGTTTAATTATGAATTGATTAACTTTTCCCAAGTGGAAAATATTTAAAACCTTCTCAATTTACCGAGAGGGAATTTTCATTTAAACGTTCGATTCTCATTACGCATTTTGAAATGAAATCGCTCTGAAACTTCAGCGGAAACTCAAATTCCACATTATTAAGATATACTGCTCTTTTGTGAAGAATTTTTTTTTTTGATCCGTAGCGCGATTGACCATGTGCTCAGGTCATAAAGCGTTTCCTAACCGGTTCACAGGTCTTTTGGTCCTTAATGTACGACACGGGTGTAGTCGGTACCGTAGTTCCAGTCAGTTTTCGTTTCCTTCCGGTTGACTTCGAAATTGCTCCAGCTCGGAATGGCAAACATCTGTGGCAAAAGATGCCGATTTTCCCCCAGCCCATGGCTGTTCTCTATTAAGTCTATTTATCCTGAAGCCTCTATTCTTGCTCGGAAGTCGATGGTTATTTCCTGTCATTGTCAAGCACGTCACGGGGACATGATTCCCCGCCAAGAAAATAGGACCCGGATTTGGGGTTCCTGATGGACCAACTCTTTAAAAAAAAAATCAAACTACTCCTTTTTTTCCTTCCGCATCAAAAATGAATAGTAAATCATGCCTTTTTTCTTATCAAATAGCTGGAGAAACCAAAAATATGCTCTTATTACAGGAAGTCAAAATTCAATTTTTTCAGAAAACACCTGCACATCTTTGTTTTGATTATTTTGTTCCACGCCTAAATCATGCATGAATAAATAACTCCATTTAAACTGCCTGAGCTGCCAGCACGTAATAGTTATACAGTATTTAGGTTATACAATACTGCATTTGATCCTGCTTACTTAACTTATTTAGGGGTTAAGTTAAACTTAAGTTACGTTTCTGACTGAAGAAAGTTATTAATCAAGACGTACTACTTATGTTCCGAAAATACTTATCGTAAATCCTGAGTTAGTTTATTCGTTTGTTATTTAACCACAGAGGGTATAAGCTGATATAAATTATCCTCTTCAATATACTGTACTGTAAATTTAAAAATTCAAGATAAAAAGCATGTTGAAATGCTTCCAGGAGTGTTATTTAAAGAAATATCTCTTACAGATACGATATCGTCAGAGTCTGATGATTAAGACAAAAATTTATAATATTCCGTCTATATGAAAATTAAAATTGATTTGTCCATTTCTAAATAAAGGAATAATCTATTCCTAAATTCTCCAGGAATCAATGAAGTCTTAGATTTGAGTAAAAACTGTTTTTTCCGATTAGTTCTTCCATCATTTTACCGAGAAAGTTTCGAGGTACTCAGTTGAAGGAAAAATGACCTCCTTTTGTGCATCGATCGCATCCACACAAAAAAAAAACAGAAATGCAAAGGAATCGAGCCATCTTGTATAAGCGAATGCGTTCTAGAATAGCATTTGAGTTGTCTGGTGCGGAAAACGCCTTCCAACTCTATATATATATATGTTTTCTCCCGACCAGAAGTTTTTTTGCCCAGCATGCGTGAACAGAAACAAACGGAACAGGGTAACAACAGTGCAGAGCAATATACTCCACGCGTTGGAGTTTTGCTCCGTCTTATTTTCTACTTGTTCTGTCAGCGTAAAAGGTGGGAAAAAACCCCCGTGCTTCTAATAGCGGGGTACCACGCCTCAATAAGTACCTTATTCGTTACGTTGGTTGTGAAGAGAGTGACATCCATCAATATGACTAGACTTGACCAAGATTTGTCTTCTTAAATTTTAAAAAAGGTAGCGGAGTTCCATTCGACCCCAGTTTAAATGGTTCCTTTCCACCGTCCTTCGTTGAGCCTGTCGCCAACTAAAAAAACTAAATAATTTTTGAAGCCCTAAATGGAGGATTTTGAATTTTATTGATTCATGGGAAAACTCTCAAAAATGTTCAGACTACTTTACTGTAAATTCTTTTGCTTTTAATGTGCAGGGTACTCATAGTACCCTTCAATTTGATGCTAATCTGTTGCTAGACAAGGTTTGAATTGCAAATCAGTCCACTTGCAAGACGCAGTATAAAATTAAGAAACGGCATCAGAAAACACTGGAAAAAGGATGAAGGAGGTTGAATCGCTATCCAAAGGCCAAATGATGAGTCAACCTCCCAGCAAATTTGAATGTCAATTGTAGGATGGTTGAATTGCAGGAGGTCAAATTGTAATGTGCCACCTTCAATGTATTTAATTACTTATATATTCTTCAAATTCAATTAAGCTTTGACAGTCGCATTCCAAATGAAAGGAAGTCACTACATCCACCTTCTGCAACTTTCTTTCCTATTATGACCTTTGCCAAAATCCAGTTAGGCAAGACTCGCCAAGCCTCTTCGATCATTCTGGAAGTTGGAAGAACTTGATCAATTTTCGTGCTTCCCAACGATGGGCCAGGGAAGAAATCACCCGATTTATCTTCATAATACACATACACTGTTTATTGAAAATAAACTTCATTCTTCTTTGGAAGGAGAAACAGGAAGTGAGGAATCTAAACACTAACTTAACTGAACTAGAGTTACCTGAACCAACCAACCATCTTACAGGCCACTGAATTAAGAGTCAGACAGCCAAATGACAAACCCAACCGAATTAAGAAAGTCTTTGAAACGTTCACTAATTCAAGATTTCCAAATTTTGATGCCTGAACATTAACATTAACATTTTTCGGAAGTGAATCCAATCTGATCGACAATGATTCTGCAGTTGCAATCTCTGTCCGGTGAGGGGGGGGGGGGGGGTAAAAAAAAAAAAAAACTTTTTG